TGTACTTACCTTTCCATCCTGTTGATTTTCTCTATCTTGCTCATTTTGAATAGATAACCATTGATTCTTCTTAGTATGTGACTCTGTCCTCAAAGGGAGCCCTGGCTGGTCAATTTCAAAGAGTTTTTAGGGACTAGACTGCTCCAGCTCCATTCAGATGGTCTTACACCTTGCAGTAACCTACTGTATTATTAGAGGGAAAACCCCTCCCAGTTTCGGTTGCTGTCTCAAATTGGCTTGCCATAATTTTTTCTTATTTTGAGTTTCTCCTATTATCAGATCTGTTAGACGTACAACTGGCTTCCCTTTGGTTTCTCCCACAGAAGTGCTAATATATGAAGGTTTTACGCCTTGTTAGTGTTTTGTTCTAACATTCTTATATTTTGGGATTTGGAGGATACCTGTACTTAGTTTTATTTTAAATATTATATTGTCCATGAATTTTGTTTTTTCTTTCTATTGCTCTGGTTTTATGTAGAGATGTGATAACATTAAGAATCTCTGCTTTTGCTACTACCATCTTCCCAGGATACTCCTGAATTTTTATTATGAAAATATGTATTCAGTCTTTATTATATACAAACAATAAGGTATTTTTATGTCAAGGAGAACTAGTTTATATGTAAAATATCTTAGTGAATTATTTACAAAGCATTCTTAAAATTATTTTGTTATGACAAAACTTCCTTAAGTATTTTAAAGATATTTTTTATTTTAAAACCAAAGCCTGTTAATGTTGCTTAGTAGAAGCAGTTGTTAGCCTGAAGGTAAAACAAGTTAGCACTGTTCCTTAATAGCAAAGGAATTTAACTTCATTAGCTATATTCTTATAATATTTAATGTCAGTTTAAAGATTTTTAAAATCTATTAAGATTAAAAGTCATATACATAAAAATAAGATTGACATTAAGATTCAAAGGGCCAATATTTCAATGTTATTTTAAAACTTTCAGAATAAAATAATCGAATTCATTTTGTCACTTTTAAAAGATAAATTATTTTCCTTTAAACAATTTATATTTATTCATTACTCTTCTGTTTTAGTGTATCATCTCTATTTGGATCATATTTTCTCAAAGTCCAAAAAAGAACTACAAGTTTTGGTAGGTAACTGATTTTTTTCCCTCTAAACAAATATAGGATTTTTAATAAGCTTCTATCTTTATTATGATATTTAAAATCACCAAATTAATGGAAATTTGGTATTATTGCCTATCATATTTATCAGTCTATTATAAAATGGTCACAAAATAAATAAAAAACAAAAAAACCTCTCTACCTGAAATAAGATTCAGAAAGTATCAGTATATACTGTCACATAAAAATTTCCCCTCTGTCCTTTATTGAAAAATATAGCTTGACATAGTTGATAGCTATAAAACAATTTTTTTGGTATTAAACACCTGTGTAATAGCTTATTTGTGGGTTTTTTAAATTAGTAAACATGGAAGAAAAGACGATATCAAGAACAATAAGATACCAAATTAAAATCTGATTATTAAGTTCTTTGACTTAATCATGATTATATAAACCTTCCTGTTTATTTCTATAAGAAATCTTCAACATGAAAGACATTATTATGTTTACCTTATTTATAGCCTAATTTAAATGTTAAAATACTGCATTTGCTGGGTCAAATTTCATGTTTTATAGTTCTTTCTTGCCATTAACATTAAAAATGTAAATGGAATACTTATGTATTCTGAAGCCTGCAAAAGGTTTTTGCTGCACACTAGTTAATCAAACTGCTGCTGTAGTCACAGGAGAAAGAACCAAAGACTATAACTGTAAATACAGCAGGGATATGAAAGTGGAGGACAAGTAATCATCTCTGTTTGTTTTTTAAATATACGTTTATGCAATCTGCTATTCTCTTTTAAATAAACCTTAAGATATCATCATTTCTCACCTAATATGTAGACTCTTAGTCAGGACTTAATGTGAATTTTAACCGATGGCAAAAATCAGTCTTAAATAACTTATCGTTTTCCACGTTGAGTAAATGAATCAGTCTCTCCCAGTTACATCACCATTGACAACTATAAGAACTTGGTTTTCATATTTCTATTTATATATTAACTAATGTTATTTGATTTTTTTTAAAAAGCGTCTAACCTTATGAAGGATAAACCTTATGAAGGATAGTTATTTTTTGAATCTCCATAATGAACCTTTATTAGGTGCATTGATTTGGAATTAAGGAATCTTTAAATTGTAGTTCTTCCTCAAGTTTTAAGCATTGTGAGTTGTGCATTTTTTTTTAATTAAATTTATTGGGGTGACTGGTTATAAACAGTATATCAATTTCAGGTATATAACTTCATAATACATCTAAATTCTAGTCTCCTTCCATTACCATATGTTTGATCCCCTTGACCCTCTTGGTCCTCCTTCCACTCCCCATTTCCTTCTGGTAACCAGTATTCTGTTGTCTGTATCTATGAATTTATTTTTTTTGTTCATATGTTGCTTTTTGCTTCATATTCCACATATGAGTGAAATCATGTGATTCTTGTTTTTTGCCATCCGACATATTTCACTTAGCATGATACTCTCAAGATCCATCCACATTGCTGCAAATGGAAAGTTCATATTTTACGGCTGAGTAGTTTTCCATTGTGTGTACGTGTATCACACCTTCTTTAATCATCTATTGAAAGACACTTAGTTTGTCTATATCTTGGCTATTGTGAATCATGCAGCAATAACCATAGGGGTACATATGTCTTTATAAATAAGTGTTTTCAAATTTTAGGGGGTAGACACCCAGAAGAAGGATTACTGGGTCGTATGGTAATTCTATTCCTAATTTTTTGAGGAATCTCCATACTGTTTTCCATAATGGCTGTACCAATTTACATTCCCACCAATAGCGTACAAAGGTTCCCTTTTCTCCACATCCTCTGCAACACTTGTTATTTCTTGTCTTATTAATAATAGATATCCTAGTAGGTGTGAGGTAGTATCTCATTAATGTTTGAATTTGATTTTCCTTATAAATGATACTGAACATCTTTTCATGTCTGTTGGCCACCAGTGGCTTTCTTGGAAAAGAGTCTATTCAGGTCCTCTGCCCATTTTTTTAATGGATTGTTTATTGTGTTTGAGTTGTAAGAATTCTTTATATAATTTGGATATTAGCACCTTATTGGAGGTATTATTTACAAATATCTTCTTTCATTCAGTTGATTGCCTTTTTGTTTTGTTGATTGTTTCTTTTACTGTGCATAAACTTTCTAGTTTTATATGATTCAATTCATTTATTTTTGCTTTTATGTCCCTTTGGGGTCAAGTTCACAAAAACCTTTTTGAGACCAAGGTTCATAAGTTTTAGTGCCTTTTTTTCTCTCTATGTATTTTATTGTTTCAGATGTTATATTCAAGTCTTTAATCCATTTTTAGCTAATTTTTGTATATGCTGTCACATAACAGTCTAGTTTCATTCTTTTGCATGTGGCTTTCCAGTTTTCCCAACACCATTTATTGAAGAAGCTTTCCTTTCTCCATTATGTGTTTGGCTCCTTTGTTGAAAATCAGTTGTGCATATAAGTGTAGTTTTATATCTGGGCTCTCAGTTCTGTTCCACTGGTCTATGTCTATTTTTCTGCCAATACCATGCTGTTTTGATTATTGTCCCTTTGACAAGATATAGTAGAGGGATACCTCTGGCCTTGTTCTTTTTTGTTGGGATTGCTTTGGCTATTCAGCGTCTTTCATGATTTCATACAAAGCAAATGATTTTTGTTCTATTTCTTTAAAAAATGCCATTGAGATTTTAATGGGGATTTCATTAAATCTGTATATTGCTTTAGGTAATAAAGTCATTTTAACTATGTTGATTCTTCCAGTCCTTGAACACAGAATATCTTTCCATTTCTTTGTGTCTTTTTCAATTTCTTTCAACAATGCCTTATGTTTTCAGTGTATAGATCCTTCATACGCTTCATTAGGTTTATTTCTAGGTATTTTATATTTTTTTGTTGCAATTGCAAAGGAATTTTCTTTTCATTACTTTCTCTGAAAATTCATTGTTGGTGTATAGGAATGGTATGGATTTTTGTACGTTGATTTCGTATCCTGAAACTTTACTGTATTTGTTTATTGTTTCTGATAGTTTCTTAGTGGAGTCTTTAGGGTTCTCAATATAGAGAATCATGTCATCTGCAGACAGTGACAGTTGACTTCTTCATTTCCAATTTGGATGCCTTTTATTTCTTTCTCTTGCTCTAGCTAGAACTTCCAACACTATATCGAATAATAGCAGTGATAGCAGAAAGGCTTGTCTTGTTCCTGATCTTGGAAGGATGTTTTGTTTTCACCACTGAGTGTGATGTTAGCTGAGAGTTTGTCCTGTATGGCCTTTATTATGTTGAGGTTCTTTCCTTCTATATCCATTTTATTGTTTTAATTATAAATGGATGCTATATCTTGTCAAATGCTTTTTCTGCATCTATTGATATGATAATATGATTTTTATCCTTTATTTTATGTGGTATATTACATTAATTGATTTGCATATTTTAAACCATCCTTGTGCCCCTGGAATGAAGCCCACTTGATCATAATATATTGTCGTATTCAATTTTTCTAGTATTTTGTTTAGGATTTTTGCATCTGTATTCATCAGAGATAGTGGTCTATAGTTTTCTTTTTTTGTATTATCTTTACCAGATTTTGGTATCAGATAATGTTGACCTCATAAATTAGTTAGGAAATATTGTCCCGTCTTCAGTTTTTTGGAAAAGTTTGAGAAGAACAAGTATTAAATCATCTTTGCAAGTTTGGTAGAATTCACTAGTGAAGCGAAATAAATGGTCCTGGACTTTTGGGGAGGTTTTTGATGATTGTTTCAATTTCCTTACTGTTGATCGGTCTATTTAGATTTTCCAGTTCTTTGTGATTCAGGCTAGGTGGCTTGTATATTTCTAATAACTCGTCCATTTCTTCTAAGTTATTGAATTTGATGGCATATAATCTTTCATAATATTCTTGTATGATATTTTGTATTTCGGTAGCATCTGTTGTAACTTCTCTTTCATTTCTAATTTTGTTTATTTGTGTCCTTTGTCTTTTATCCTTAATGAGTCTAGCCAAGGGTTTGTCAATTTTATGAGTCTGTTCAAAGAACCAACTCTTTATTGCATTAATTTTTTAAATTGTCCTTTTGTTCTCAATTTCATTTAATTCTGCTCTAATTTTTATTATTTCTTTTCTTCTCCTGACTTTGGGCTTTGTTTGTTCTTCTTTTTCAAGGTTTTTAAGATGTAGTGTTGGGTTGTTTATTTGGGATTTTTCTTGTTTCTTGAAACAGGCCTGTAAGCTTGGTTGATGTGTCTGCTTTGAACCAGCCCTATCTGACCAACTTTCTTGATAAACCTTACTGGTCTTCTCTTCTCTTTTCTCTTCTACCTCACTCTTTCTTTTGCCCTTCTGACATTTTCCTGTCCTTCATTTTCTTCCTTAAATGATCATTTTTTGAGACTAAACTTTTTAAAAATTCTTTGTTGTATTCTCAACCTTTATACTTTAAAACAACTTTAAAAACTGTATTTCATTTTTAGTGTAGATAATTGAGAATTTTATAATCATAGTGAACAAGAGGAACAGAATTTCTGATTGGAAGGGCTATTTAAGATCTAGTTCAAAATAACAAATTGAATATTTATTGCATATGATTTTCAAAACCATTTATTTTTTAATTAGTGTTTTTTTATTACAGGAAAAGATTAAAGTTTTTGGTCACGCCAGTTTTTCCTTCCTATTCTCTTTAATAATTTCATTGCATATGTCACTCAAATTTTAATTCTCTTTCTCTTATCTTTCTCTCACAACTACAGTTTAAATTATCAAAGTATATGTGCACTAGATGATAATGAGTTTAGAGGGTTTTTTTTTTAAGCTTTACTTCTTAATTCCTAATTTCTTATTTCTCATTTGCAGTATTGTAGGCTTATTGCAAATAACATGGACAAAAGAGAAAAGTATAGAGAGGAAACCCACTATCTAAATGTAATCTATTAGCTGTCTTCCCTTGTTCTCCAGTACTACTTATCTGTTGATAAATTAGCAGTACATATGCACACGCACGTGCACACACACATGA